CACTTTCCTGCTTTCTAGGATCTTTCATCGCGACCGATCAGAAACTGCTGGTAGTATTTCAAGCCCCGCATTTCTTGGCGACGGGACAATGACCATTTGCAGGACATCTCCACATCCTGTTTATCCCGGTTTCCCCAGGAAGGCAGATGAGCGTTGCATTATCCTACACCCTGGCTGCTCAACCCAACTGACACAGACTAAAAAGTATGAAAATAAAAGAAATCAAATGTGTCACAAACCAGCAGGGTGAGAAAGAACAGTGGAAGGGGAAGGAGCATCTGCTTTGGGAACTTCAAGTTCATAAAAATCTTTCTTCACATTCTCTTCTCCAATCCTATTTGTTTTGTCCAACTAGCTTTAACTCCGGGTTGGAGTCTTTTTGGTTGGTTGGGTTTTATTCTGAGTTGGAAAGACGCTGTTTGGATATTTGCCAGAAGTCAGTGAGGTCACATACATCTTTGTTAAGAAAACTGATTCTTTAAACAAAGGTGATCTGTTGGAGTTTCTGGAAGTATTCAGTAAGGCATAGATGAAAATAAATTGGGCTGAAAAAGCTGCGAATGAATACAGATGAAACTCTGATTAATGGTCTAGCTAAATACAATATATGAGAACACGACCACCCATATGGAAGACAGAGACTGGGACAGTTCCTCAGGAATCGGTCTGGGATTAAAATGCCACTTGTGACACTGTCAGTGAATTATTTTTTTAAATTTATCATGTATTCCCATACATGCGTGCCCAGGCATATACACACATACAGATATGTTTGCATGCATGTGTTTAATGCAATGTCCTAAAGATATTTGCTGAAGCTAAAAATTTGAGAGGCATTGTCAGTACAGGAGAATGATATTAAAGAATGAAATGACCAAACAATATTGAGGAACAGAGTAATAGAAAAAGGGGTAATGGAATCAACTGTACAAAATACAGTCATGCACTTAGACAGTAACAAGAAGAACTGATGCCACAAGGCAGAAAAATCACCAACTAAAATACAGAAAGTATCACAAATTCCTCAGAGTCACAAATTTGCTGCAAGCACACAGAAAGCAAACATACGAATAACGTTACAGGTCACATATTTCCAGCAAAGATAAAGATATACTGATGCCGCTCTACACGGCAGAATGGACATCGCCAAGGTCAGGGATCATCTACTCATGCATCATCTGTTCTGTGCTGGAAGATGAAATCCTAGCCCTTGAGTGACAATCTGAAGCATTACCACAATATAAATAACAATTTAATTGCCAGTACTAAACAAATGAGATTGTCCTAACAGTGTTCTAAGCACCCAAACAACCTTAAAATGCTTCCTGGGCACAGCAGGGATCTCCAGCAGAATAAAAGGTCTTCAAGCCAATTAATTGTAATTTGAATCCCTGTCACAGAGCAGAAATCAAACATCATGGAAGATCGTAAATATATATGGATGCCGACACAGTTACAAGTAGGTTCTGCACTTGTTTGGCTGCAACAAGGGCATTACCGATATAGCTCATGACCTTTTCTGAGCCGCCCTGACAATAAACGCCCCGGTGACAAGCGGCGTTCCTCAGGGGTCGGTACTGGGACCAGCGCTGTTTAACATCTTTGTCGGCAACACAGACGGTGGGGTTGAGCGCACCCTCAGCAAGTTTGTGGACGACACCCAGCTGGGTGGCGAGGTCGATGCGCTGGAGGGAAGGGATGTCATCCAGAGGGACCTGGGCAGGCTGGGGAGGTGGGCACATGCGAAACTCATGAAGTTCAACAAGGCCAAGAGCAAGGTCCTGCACGTGTCGGGGCAATCCCAAGCACAAATACAGACTGGGCAGAGAATGGACTGAGAGCAGCCCTGAGGAGAAGGACTTGCTGGTTGATGAGAAGCTCAACGTGACCCAGCAACATCTGCTGGCAGCCCAGAAAGTCAACCGTATCCTGGGCTGCATCCCAAGCAGCATGGCCAGCAGGTCGAGGGAGGGGATTCTGCCCCTCTACCCCACTCTGGTGAGACCCCCCCTGCAGTACTGCCTTCAGCTCTGGGGTCCTCAGCACAAGAAGGACATGGACCTGTTGGAGCGAGTCCAGAGGAGGCCACGAAGATGATCTGAGGGCTGGAGCACCTCTGCTGTGAGGACAAGCTGAGAGAGTTGGGGTTGTTCATCCTGGAGAAGAGAAGGCTCCAGGGAGACCTTAGAGCAGCCTGCCAGTACCTAAAGGGGCCGACAAGAAAGCTGAGGAGGGACTTTTGACAAGGGCAGGGAGTGATGGGACAAGGGGCAATGGCTTTAAACTGGAAGAGGGAAGATTTAGATAAGATAGGAAGAAGAAATTCTTCCCGGTGAGGGTGGTGAGGCAGTGGCAGAGGTGGCCCAGAGAAGCTGTGGCTGCCCCATCCCTGGAAGTGTTCAAGGCCAGGGTGGGAGGGGCCGTGAGCAACCTGCTGCTGGAAGGTGTCCCTGCCCAGGGCAGGGGGGTTGGAACTGGGTGGTGTTTAAGGTCCCTTCCAACCCGTACCATTCTGTGAGTCTATGAATAAACACTTGAAAGATGGCCTTCAAACATAAAAACCCAAACCAGTTGATACAGGTGTAGTATGCACCTGCAAAAGAGAGGTAAGGATGGCAAAAAAAAAAGAAAAAAAACAAAGGGTAAAAGAAAAACCTACTCCAATGGCAAAGAACAAGAGCAGATTAATCTGCACAAGGGGAAGGGGTGGTTTTCTGTTAGTGATGCTGCCACCTTGCAGTTCTTATTTTAGGGCTCATGTACATTAAAGGAGACCAAATGTTCTGTAGAGTTGATAGGGACTGTAAAAACTAAACATGAGCAACTAACACACGAGTCAAAACATGACAATCTCAACAAGCTGCCAGCAAGAGATAAAGCCCTTTTTCTGTGCCTGTATGTGTATGATATGTATCTACGCACATGAGGCACTGGCGGCAAGAAAAGCACAAAGGGTAAAGTACTTTGCATATTTAGTGAATCATTTATTTCTCTGCTGAATTTCCAAAATACATTTCTATACAGATACTGCATCCAACATCAAGCAGTATCACTTAACTAGCTTAGAGATCCATTCAAACAGGTGTCAGCCTTAATGACAGACTGACACAACAGAGCAAAACAAATATGGAAAGTTTTTTTCCTCTCGCAAGTATTGTTTCTTGGAGATACTCAAAAATAAAAAAAAAATCAACTGTTAATAATAAGCAGCTCTCTGCTCTTCCTCTTCCTCAAAAAAAGACCCATAAAAATACTGCATTGAGCTCAGTCCACCAGAGAATTCCAGGCTTAAAAGAAAAAAAAAAAATTAGAAAGATATTACCACTAGAAAAACAATAAGAAATGATCTATTGTTTTTGTTGCTGAATACTGTTGCATAATCAGCACTTGGAAAAGCTGACAGGGTTTGAAATAATTTCCACTGGCACGTTGAACTGTTTATAGCTCAGAAAAGTCCTGAGATACTCTGATCTTGACAAATCACACCAATCTGTTTTTTTCTCCTTCCCTGACACGGCAATCCCAAGTTTGCTTTTGCAGTCAGCCAGTCTCTAACTTCTGCAGTTCTCTCTCTCTCTAGGCAACCTGCATGCATGCAATATCAAGGCATCTCGCCCCATACTATGCTGTACAAGAAACGGTAAGAAACATGACTGCAGGTCTTTATTTTGTCTCCTTCCTTTCTTTTCAGTACCCTTAGGAGTACTGGAGCAATTCTCCCCGCAGTTACAGGCAGAACACGAGGAGACAGAGCTTGCAGTTCCTAGCTTGATACCCGAGCCCACTGACCAATTTCTAATTCTGACAAAAAAAGAGGGACAAAGAAAAGAAGGGGGGGAGCAAAAAAAGGGTTTCCCATGCAGAGGACAGAGCCAGCCTCGCCCTTTTGCTGAGAGAAAGGCCCGGGGTTATGTGCCCGGCTTGCCAGCTGGCCAATTTATAGCAGCACGTGCTTCTTTGCATCTAGGCAAAGGGGATATGGGAAGGAGCCAAGAATACAGGGGGAGAGGAGGAGTCAGGGCCATGGGCAGAAAAGGAAGGGGAGGAAATTTACAGTGAAGGGGAAATGTAAAGGATTATAGGAGGGGAAAAATATAAAATCAGAGAATGGGGAAGAGGAGAAGAGCCAGACATTAAAAACATAGGATAAAACTATGAAAGTCCAGCTTCCATAGCTCAAGAAATACTCTCTCAGAGGCAGCTAGATTTGTCACCTTTCTTTGCCACTTCAGACATCTTGGATCAGCTACCAAAAGCCCTCATCTCATTTCTTACTAGTTTTAGTTTACGCATTAATTGTTTCAAGGTTCCTAGACGTGACTACCACTGCAGGGAAAAAAAGAGATTGGGGACAGGATTGTGAATATAGGAAAATTTTCTGTGAAGGGCAGGGGGGAAGCTACGTTCTCAGAAGTTCCTCCCGATGTATGGAATTAACAGAATGTCTCTACCTCCCGGCTAGCTCCTTTCGAGGTTTATATTTAAATGCTCTCTGTCCGACTCTCTGCACAGGGGTGTTTCTTACTGATATGGCTCAGACCCAATTCACAGTCTTGCAGGAAAAAGCCAGGACTAGGACAGACAAGCTAACGCTTTCTACCACTAGCAAGACTGAATTCAGAATTAACTTTTGCAAACTATGAAATGAGATTCTTCATCTGCTAAAGCTTTACTTCAATTCAACCAGCCCAAAACCGAAGCCAGTGTTCGGCAAGAATCAGCGACTCTTCATTTGGCACAAGGAAACAGCAGTATTGATTGTGTAATCCACAGCAAACCAGGGGAAGCGCAGGCTGACACAAGCAGAAGGTGTTCTTGGAAGTCCTTGTACTGTACGTGTCCAGGCAGTAAACTTGAAACGATCACTGACTCTTCCATCTTCTGTACCCTTTTTTGGCCGTGGCCCAGTCCACCTCCTGGAGGTGGTTTAACCCTGGAACAAGGTCCATTGGACCATTACCGGATGAAGATAAGATATTTGATAAACGCACGCTACCAACCTTGTTTGTTCGAGGGTTTAACATTAGTGGCTTGCCTTTTTCTTTCGTATGTGCACTGCGGCATGCCATCGCACAGGGAGTGGCAGCTACTCTTAGTCGGGAGAACATTTTCTTTTTCTTTAATACTGCAACCTGGGAAAAGGAAAAGAAAATCATTCAGATACAGAAGCAGTGGAACTAATGTTCAAATTTGTAGGCCATCTGTTGTAAAAGAAATAGGTACAAGCTAGATAAGACTCTTTGCTCTAACACCGTGATAATAATCCAAAATTGCCTTGCGACAGCCAGGAGGAAGAAAAAGAAGAAAGGCTTTACAACAACTATAAGAGCACAGGAGTGAGTGAACAGAACATATAATGTGCGCTAGCTTCATGCTGTGGGCTGCAGTCAGCCAGCATTCGATTCATATATCGTCTTATAGCTGCACCATAAACCTAGAGCAGAACTGCTATTAGCAAATATTAACCTTCTGTGGTGACCCATGCCACTGGCACCAGTGCGAATATCAGGAAGGACAGAATGACTTGGGCTAGTGCAGCAAGAAAAGTTAAGCTGAGTTTCTCCAATAGCTTTCCGACAATGAAATCTTGTGGCCTGAACAACAGAAAGGAAAGAAACGATGTCTATTAGCATATTAAAACTGGATTAGAACAAAATGTAGAATTAAAATGGTCACAAATTCACTGTACTCTGGATTCCATGCTTAGATTTTTTTAAATTCCAAACCTAAAAAAAAAGGTTATTTTCAGAGAGAATATCACCTTTTCAATAAAGGATACGTTTCCCTAACCAAACAAAAAATTTGTTAGTACCACTCGAAAGCTTAGTTCTTAATCTCGCCAAGTGATAACCACTCTCAAATCCATTTTATTCAACTATTAATTGCAAGCTCTTTGGAGCAGAAATTATCATTTCTTACATGCTTCTATAATGCAGTACCACCAGGGAATGCGTACCGGCCTCGTCTCTCAACATTATTTCGCCAACGCAGAGAGACAATAGCAATCACAGCGAGACCTTACATAGGACCACGGCCTGTCTGAAGACATGTACAGATGGCACGCTAGAAAGGATAGACGTACACGGCTCGGATGCAGTATCACACAAAATCCTGACATGGGGAGAGGGAAAAAAAAACAGATCTCTTTAGCAACAGGCCTATGCAGTCAGTGGAGGAAGGCAGAGATCCAGGATCAGCGCAGCAGGGAACCCTTCTCCCTCTCCATTGCAGCTGGCGTGGGTGGGGGAGCCCTGCAGCCGGTGCTCCATCGTCCCCTGGCCCGGCTATATGTCCGCATCCAAGACACACGCAAGGACAGTAAAGCAGGTATGAGACATTTTTAAGGAATGAAATGATGCATGGTTTGGATTTTTAATTTCTTCCAGATGGACACCAAAATTAGATTAAGGAACAAAACTTCATTATCTTAAACATAGCCTGAATACTTTAGAAGACCTTTCTATAATCAAATTTACACATAATCAGCTTTTAAGATGGCAGATTGATCTTCCAAGTTACAATCTGAGGATTTTCTTCAGAATCTTTCCAAGCATTAAAAGAGCACGCAAACATTTAAGATTTTTCATCATCAGTTACACCCGAGTTTCTCTCCTACCCATTACGAAGCATAGAGGAAAGCAGCACTGACATTCCGCGGGATCCCTTTCTCTCATCCTTTATTTGTTTGTTTAGGCCTTGCAATTGAAAAAAGTTCCACTGAAAACCCATGTGTTTAGTCATTTTGTGGTAAAGAACATAAATTTACTGTGTGGAGACAGGAGGAATGGAAGCCTTGCCAGCACTACAAACAAACATTGCTTTTAACATGGTAATTCCTCCCTAAACCAGCTAGCGGTGGACTAAACACAGCTGGTCTGCCAGAACTCAGGGCAGCTGAAAATGAGGATCAGATAAGCAAAATTAAATCTATGCTGCAAAACAACCAGCCTTTAGGAATGGGAAATTCAGTCTTAACTGCTTTTAATTCTGATTGCTCATTTGCCATCCTTACACAATCGCAAGTCCGTCTCTTCATGCATGTGAGGGTAAAAACGATCTGTGACGAGCGTCGCAGCAAACCTCAGCCCGCATCTCATCAGTCTGGTGTTAGGGTGGCTTCAATCTGTCATGAGCAAATACCTTAAACAAGAAACTAAAAAGCAGGCCAAACACCACAGCTTATCTTACTCTAATTAAATTTAAATTACTTTGTTGCAATTAATGAGCATTTAAGGACCAAACAAGATTGTGGCCCAGATTTCTCCTAACTTGATCCATTAACTCTCTAATCAATGAGAGAGAAAAAGACTTTTCAGGGGTGTGATTCAAATGGCACAAAGCTTACTTCCCTCGTTCCTCTGTGAGAGAGGAGATGTGCTCCTCTCCTCTGAGGTGCCATACAGGCCCCTAAAATGATTCTCTCGGTGGGGGTATCTCAGATGACTACGATACATGGGGGAATGAGCCTTCATTTTCCACTCAGTCCCTCTGTTTAGATCCAAGAGATACGATCCCAGTTAATTTATATCCAGCATAAAACCTGACTGGTTACTCAGTCCTGAGCTCTCCTTCCTCTGCTCTTCTATTTGTTTCCTATTTCTGTTTCATCTCCCACCCTGCACATCCCCTCTAACTCCTCCTGTCACAGATTTTTAAACCCTTTTTAGCAAGAATCTGCCTCCAGAACACAACATGACTTACCTTGAAGCCACAAAGCCAGCATCCTTCCCCATCCCTTGTCCATATTCCTCCGTAGGAGTGCCAAGAGCTCTGTGCTTTGCCTGCGTGGCCGTGGCCCTCCACGACTCGCCTACCCTCTCCTCCCTGCTCTGCTGGCCACCAACCTGGCAAGAACAAGCCACCCATCCGCCCAGGTCCTTCTGCTTTTAAAGTCCTAACTCCTCCTCAAGAATACAGGCGCAGGACAATCCAGTAACCCTTACAACTAAAAAAATCAAGGCGACTTCTATACACACCACCAGTGGCTTAAAGCTTTTTAAAACAGACCTCGCTGATTCCACTGTGGCTCACACGATGGCTTGAGTCAGACGCAGCGCGGGGTTAGCCATAAAAGCAGCTCACACCAGGAGTCTGGGATTACAGCTAACAGCTTCTCAGATGAAAATACCTGAGATGCAACACGGTCCGACGGACACCGCTTCTCCTCCAGCCTCGTGGGAAAGGCAGAAGGGACACGAAGCCTCATTCCCGGTGGCTTGTATTTGCCAGCCCTGTTTCTGGGAAGCACTTTGGGCAGGCAGCAAGCGGCAAGGATAGGAAAGGACCTGGAAGAAAGGTCCCCAAAACAATACCTGCTTTCAAGGAGATGCAAGGGTTGGGTCATGCTGCTTCGCGGGAAGGTTTTTAAATGGTTTTGTAGAAGAGAAGGCAGACTTGAGCTGGTGGTACTTTAACTGTAAGAAAAAGGAGAGATGACTTTGACAGTAGGGGCTGAGAGGGAAGGACGTCAACTGAGGGAAACAATGATGTGAAAACATACACGCAGGAGTGAGCTTGTGCAATGTCCCGTGAAGAAGAATTAGGAAGAAAGCAGAGGAATTGAAAGAGGAATAAAATTCCTGCTAAAACATGTGTCGGCATAACCAGAACAAGGATTTCTTTTCTCCTTTCGGTATCTGACAACGGTAAGGACTAAAGACGACTGCGGCGTACCACCAGACATAATCCAATACAACTGGTAATTTTTGACTTATTACCACATACATGCTGTGTCACAATTTAAGAGAATTAAATTCTTCAGCGTACCAGATGACAGCTCTCTGCCGTGCCTTATCGGGAGGCATCTGGCCAGGTCAAACTAATTACCAATACTATACAAGTGCCCTTATCTAGGAGCAAATGTTCTGCTGTTGCAATTATGGATTTGTTAAATTGCAAAAGCTACTTTTAAGGGAAAGGTTCATCATACTTTTAAAAGGTACAACTGCAATGCTCAGAGAGTCAAGAAGCTCAGTGTCAATTAAAGCAAGGTCTGCTTCAATTACTGCACAGCCTGCCTGACTTGTGGATTGTACCTTAATACCAAAGGAGTATCTCTCGGTGGGCAGCAACTTGCGCTTGATGACTTTGCAGTTTTCCTTCAGTTTGAAGGATGGCTAAACATATTTCAAGGATTCCTGAAATCCTGTGTAAATGAACAGCTCCACTCTTTTCTTTCATGTACAGATATTACAAAGATCTGTGTCTTAACAGGAGCTTGTTCTTGATAACACAAGCCGGAATTATGAATTCAAGACCCGAGTTTTCAACCTTTCTGGCCTCAATCGGTTTTGGTTTTTTTAAGCACCACTGCTCTAGGACCAACAAACATTTTCTCTTACATACCCACAGCAAGCTATCCAGTGAGTCTGCACTATCCAGAGTCTGGTGTGAATGCATCATTGCACCCTATTCTCTCTTTATTTTTTTTTTTTTAAATAAACAGACAAGCCTTGCCTACCCAAGCATGACACAAACCAGGCACACACTAGCTGGCTTCATCACTTCAGTAATGATAAAGCAGTCGAAAATTATTACATTAGGCAAGTACCAACTATAAATGTGTCTCCCAATGAGACTTTTGCTTGAAGAAAGCAGCTTGCCCTGCACTCACCACCCTGCAGCGGGTGCTTTGCAGATCGAGGGAGAAGGGGGCACTTCCATTTTACAACGGGAGCACCCCAGCGCGTCCGCGTGCGGAGGAAGGAGCAGAGAGATAAGGCTTGGCAACGCAGTCCTGCACAGCAACTCAGCACCTCTGATTCCCCGAGCTGACCAGACGCTGTTGGGGGAAGTTAGCAGAAAATGATGGTAATAATATTTTAGGTTCATTCCAGCAAAGTGCTGAGCTATCACTTTAAAGGACATTTCTAAAGTACCTTGAGATCTGCAGATTAAAAGGAACAATCATATGGGGAGGTGTCACTAATAAAATGTTTGGCAGCGGTAAGCGGGACACTTTGGAAGGAGATCTTTAACATCTTGAAACTACTTTTCTTCCCTCTTATTCTGAGCCAACCAGTTCAACAAGGAGAAAAGTTAGATGTAAAGTACTTCAGCAAAGCAAGTAAGTTCACAACCTGGGGCTTGAAACATTCAGGGAATAAAG